CAGTTAATGCTACTATCGCTTCCTTCTCCTGTCATGTATTGTGCCTCCAGGAAACGAAGCTTGATAGTATCGATCAGTTCACGGCTGCTTTCTTGGGGGGGCATAGGCTGCGTAGCTTCGCGCAACGTCTAGCAAATGGCACCAGGGGTGGTATCCTTCTTCTTTGGGATGACCTTTTGGTGGAGATGTCCAGCATCACCATCACCACCTTCTGCCTCTCGGCCATGGTCCGTGTCAGAGACTCGGGCGTGAGCTTCAAGATAACCACCCTTTACGGTCCCACCGACCACTCGCTCAAAGATGTGTTCTTTGCCGAGCTCGTTGGCCAAAAGCCACCCGCTGGTGTGGCTTGGATCGCCTCCGGGGATTTCAACCAGATTTACCGGGCAAGGGATAAAAACAAGAGAAACGTGAACTGTAGCAGTATAAATCGGTTTCGTGCAACTCTTCATAGTTGTGAGCTCAAAGAAATCCACCTCCAGAATAGGAGATTCAGATGGAGCAATGAAGGTCCAACCCTACCCTTTGCAAGCTCGACTCCTTCTTTTGCAATGCGGAGTGGGACACAACATTCAACGACCACGTGTTACATGCGCTCTCCTCGTCCCTCTCCAACCACTGCCCGCTTCTGCTTGCTGAAGATAAGGGGCCAAGGAGGCCTAGGACCTTCAAATTTGAGAACTTTTGGGCTTCTATGCCAGGCTCTATGACGTGGTCCACAAGGCCTGGGCCGAGCCAGTTGAGCATACCGACCCATACATGATCCTTTTCCACAATCTCAAGAAAACGGCGACGCGTCTCACGGAATGGAGTAGAGGCCTCTTATCTGAAGCCAAGATCCACCTCCATGCCGCCCTCTTGGTGATCCTCCGCCTCGACATTGCTCAGGAGGGAGGTTGCTCTCCCCCGGGGAGCGCGACCTTCGAGCTCGGCTTAAGAGAAGGGTCATAAGCTTGGTCACGCTGGAGAAAGCACGTAAAAAGCAGTGTGCTAGAACCGCAAACATTAAGGAAGGGGATGCCAACACCAAATTCTTTCACCGGCGTGTTAACGCGAGGAGGAGGAAAAACTATATTCACCGGATTATGAAGGATCAAGGGTGGGTGACCAAACACAATGCCAAGGAGAAGATAATCCATGACCACTTCTCGCAAGTAATGAAAAGAGGAAGCGGAAGCACGAAGGACTTCAATTGGGAGGAGCTCAATCTGGAGTCGCATGACCTGCATGAGCTTGACGCTCCCCTATCTGAGGCGGAGGTCATCAAGGTGGTTAATAGTATGCCTAGCGACAAGGCACCTGGGCTAGACGGCTTCACCGGCCTCTTCTTCAAAAACTGTTGGCGAATCATCAAGCACGACCTCATGAGGGTGATTCAACGCTTTGACTCCCTCCACACAACAAACCTACACTAGCTCAACTCTGCGAATATTGTGTTGCTTCCCAAGAAGGATGGGGCGGAGAGCATCGTCGACTTTAGGCCCATTAGCCTCATCCATGCATTCGCCAAGATCATCGCAAAGGTACTCACTATCTGGCTTGGCCCGCACATGTCCGCCCTCGTCTCCAACGCTCAAAGTGCGTTCATCAAAGCGTGGAGCATCCACGACAACTTCATGTATGTTAGAAACCTTGCGCGACGCTTGCACAAGAGCAAGACTCCCTCTCTCCTATTCAAGCTGGACATCCGCAAGGCATTTGACTCTATCAAATGGGAGTACTTGCTTGACCTCCTACGGAAGCAAGGTTTCCCAAGCAAATTTCTAGAGTGGATTGCGACTCTGTTGTGCTCCTCATCTTCGAGGATCCTCTTGAATGGGGTAGCTGGTACCCCCATCAAGCATGGTTAGGGACTACGGCAAGGGGACCCCGTCTCTCCCCTCCTTTTTGTGATAGCTATTGACCCATTGAAGCAAATCCTTGATGTGGCGACAAGGAAGGGCCTTCTTCACAAGGTCCGAGGGAGAGGGGTCATGGTGCGAACCTCTCTCTATGCGGATGATGCGGCTGTGGTTGTAGCGCCGATCAAAAGAGATGTGGACAACCTTGCGGCCATTCTGTGAGGTTTTGGTGAAGTCACCGGCCTTCGCACCAACTTCCATAAGAGCTCAATGGTCCCCATTCGGTGCGGCAACCTTGACTTGGGCCACATCACGCAAGGGCTACCGGCTGTCAGGGCTTCCTTTCCGCTCCGCTACCTAGGACTCCCGCTATCTGTGTGGAAGTTGAAGCTCGCCGACCTACAATTTCTTGTTGATAAAGTGGCAAGTAGACTGACTACATATGACGGCCAAAACATCACCACCATTGGCCGCGCGGCCCTTGTTAAGTCGGTCCTCGCTTCCCAAGTGATCTACTTCATTACGCCACTTGTCATACAACCCACCATTCTGCAAAACATCGACAAGCTTGAGCGGGCCTTCCTATGGTCGGGGTCGGATACGACGGATATGACATCTGGGGCAAAGTGCAAGGTCAATTGGGATGTTGTCAGTCGGACGCTCACCTATGGTGGACTCTGGGTCCTCAACACCAACAAGTTCGCACGGGCTTTGCGTTTGCGGTGGCCTTGGTACGAGTGGAAGGAGCCCACAAAGTTGTGGGTTAGGAGTGGGAACCCGTGCGATGAGGAGGACCTCAACTTTTCTACGCCTGTACCACCATCACGGTTGGGAACGGTGCGAAGACTCCATTTTGGGACTCCCCTTGGCTCCTTGGTCGCAAGCCCAAAGATATTGCTCCGCTCATTTACGAGACTTCCTCCCGGAAGCACTGGAAGGTACGGGAGGCCCTCAAGGACAACGCGTGGATCCTCAAAATCAGACCGCCCGCATCGATTTCCATCGAGCATGTTGCACAATTCTTCACCCTTTGGATGCTACTGCACGAGGTGCACCTGGATGAGCTCACTGAGGACGACATCCTATTGAAGCACACGGAATCTGGGCACTACTCCGCGGCCTCCGCTTACAGGGCACAATTTTTGGGCTTGGTCCTCTCCCCCATGGACCAAATGGTCTGAAAGGCTTGGGTCCCACCAAAAGTCAAGTTCTTTGCTTGGCTCGCGCTTCAGGATAGGATCTGGACTGCAGACAGATTGGAGAAGCGAGGATGGCCAAACTGTGGCCCCTGCCCCTTGTGCCAACGGGTGTAGGAATGTGACCCGCATCTTTTCTTCAGATGCCGCTTCACTCTCAGGCTTTGAAACATGGCTATTTAGAAATTTCGCATCACGAGCACCACCAACAGAAAAGCAAAGGCATCGATTACCATGCTAGTGTCATGGGTCATCTGGAATGAGCGCAACGCAAGAGTGCTCAGGCAAAAGAGCGCACCTCCACAAATCTTGCTCAACATCATTGAAGATGAGGGAAACCTTTGGATCAAAGCTGGAGCAAAGAAACTAGGGTCTTTTTTATTGCGAGAATAATTGTCATGCCGTAACTTGGGTGTGTGTTGTAACAAACTCTCTCTCCTCCTTATTTAATATATGAGGCAAATCTTTTGCCTCCGTTTTTTAAAAGAAAAATAGTGTCAAAAACGTTCTTATATTTTGGGACAGAGGGAGTAAATCCGAACCTTCAGGGTGATTTTGCAAGCAATCTAGAAGTTGCCTTTTTCGAGAAAAACGCAAGCTGGAAGTCCAGACATAGAAAACTCGCACTGGTAGCAAAATTTTACAACTTCCAAGTTCACACATGACAAGGGTCAACTACAAACCAAGATAAGAAAAGTACGTAGCTGCGTTCATTACTTTAGATAGATAGGAGTAGTTCGCAGTATCAGATATCCATCGACTGGGGGGTCGACAAAGCATTCTTCTTCTTCTTCTTCCTTTTCTTGTCCTTCCTAGATTTCTTCCCGCTCTTTGCAGACTCATCGTCTTTCACGGAAGAAGGCGGTTGTGTTGATACCAGATGCTGATGAATTGCAGCCAATGGGTCTAGCTGGAACTGAGGGTTGTTCAGTACAGCATTCAGTTGAGCAGACTCTCGTTGCCTGAAAAACAAAGGTGCTGAAATTGTGTTGAAAAAGAAAACAAAGAACAAGATTGGGGGATGGAGATTTCAAGTGAGGAATTACACTAAAGCCTGCTTTGACTTGCGGTTGAGCTTTACTTCCGTCTGCTGCTGCGAGCCAGCTGTTTGTGGAAGGAACTCAGAAAGTGCTGACAAATCATATGCTTTCAGTTTCAGTTTCTTCTGACGGCTCCTCTGTTTCTTTTTCTACAGACAGGAAACTCAAAATGAACTACTGAGTATAACAACTGCATGTGAATATCTTTGTATCGGTTCAGTTGCAGCATATAGGGTGCCCATTGGCCAACAGTAACAAAAACAAGACAGTGCCAGTAGACAGCTAGAGGCAAGCTGTGTTGGGTATATTGAAAATAATAAAAACAAGACAAACAAATAAACAACCAGTAGTGTGAGGCTAATTTGGAAAGGCAAAACGCATCCTTTTAACACCTACAAACACATTTGTTTGATAGACAGGCAATTTGCAACCTGTAACTAGCTAAATGCATCAAATGGTGCCACAATATTCATGACGCTAAGGACACAATGGCATCAGATTATTATTTTTTACCAATGACGAAATTTCAGAGGCAGATTAGTAGTCGAGACTCAAACCATTTAAGGTAGTGGCCTTATTTTTTATTTTTTGTAGCAGAACACCACCAGCAGAAACTGTGGAAAAAAGACCTTCATATTTGCGACCAAGGAGTAATCCTTATCCGCCTAGCCTTGATTACTCAATTCGTTACAACTTAGAACTTAGTACCTAGACAAGCTAGATCGATGTAGATAACTTTTCTTTGTTTTGCGAATGGCCCAGCTTGGCATAACGTGTGGCTTCGCTATGTTTATAGCCTGCCTCGTGGCTTGGTTTTCATGACTGGCACACATGATAGTGTTTGTCTTGCTGACACACTCTCCATGTAGTTATTAGTGGCTTATGCTAAAATAGCATGAAATTAAGTGACCTCTTCCTCGATGATCAAGTGACAAAACTGGAGAAAACTAGCCTAATTAACATTCCACGTCTGAATGACCCTCAATACAAAATGTGCTCAATTGTCATTCCACACACTGGCTGGCACGTGTAACTCTTAGTATTAGCTTGTCAAAGAGGGCATGCAAGAAGTCTCTTGGGATGAAATTGTGCGTACACATGGTAGTGAATCCAATTACCCTGGTTCGGAGGACTTCCACACCTAATTTAAAAGGTTAGGGTGATAGCTTAGACAAGTTACCTTTGATCATGCTGAATCACGGCATTCACAAAACTATTTTGTTCGCCAAACATGCATGAAAGTTAGTTATACTTGGGTAGTGAGCCTATTGTCATTTATTATCAGTTTCCACATATATGAGCTACTATCCTTTATTATATCCTATCTTACCAAGACATAGGTGGAGCCTATTTCCCCCCTGCAAGAGTTTTCTATCTAGAGTTTAATCAACTTCTAGATTTAATTTAATTTGTGAGCCTGACATGATATCCACCTGGTACACCGATTTATGATTCAATACTCTTACTTAACTTGGTTCCACGAGCGGTCCCTGTTTCACGTTCTTATGAGCCAGACATGGATGAGAGGTTTGTTTTATTTTTGTTTTAAGTGAACCATCAAAGGAACAAACAAATTTATAATATTGCACATTTGCAAAATCCGACCAAAAGGAATGATATACTAATGGAGGGCAGAATTAGAAGCATCTTTGTACCTTACTGATAGCCTTTTTGGCCTGTAGGGAGGTAACCGCATCTTTCACTTCTGGAATGACAAGCAAAGAGTCCAATGAGTTACAATGCAAGTTGAGGCAAGCAAAACAAGCCATATTATGTTGTAATATTAGTCAAGGTGGATGCATAGAACAAGCAAAATGCAATAAATACATGAAATAAAATTAATCATCAATCATAATTCATAATGAATAGTGTGTACAGTACAAAATCTCTATTCTCCTTTCCATTTTATTATACAGTTAGAAAAATGAACACACAAGAAAACACAACAATATGTACAAAAGAACAGATTATATTATGAGTAACTTACATTTTGGACCAGTTTTTATTATAGTAGTTGTAATTTGCACCATGTATGTCCAAATATAGCACTATACACAACCAGTTGGGTCACATAATGTTGCACTTTGCACCAGGTTTTGACAGTTCATAAAAAATGACCCGGTTCCCTGACTTGGGCCCATTTGTCAGGTACCATGTCAACATGCCATGGATTCTCGACACGACACCCATGAGTGGTCCTTTACATTTGACCATTTTGCCTCGACTCATGAGGTTCCGAATTGTCATACTTCCATGTCAATGAATCAGGTTCATTAAAATCATTGTAACGCAAACCATAAACCACCTCCTAGGAGGCATGTAACTTTTACCTTCCCTTTTCAATGAAAAGAAACGCAAAGTCTTCGCGTTTTATTGAAAAATGAATCAGGTTCAGTTTTCTGTGAACCATCATAACCTGGTGCAAAGTGCAATGCTATGTTACCCCTACTGGTGCGAAAACGTGAATTCCTGCATTTAGACATACATGGTCCCAACTGCAACTGCTGTAATAAAATCTGGTTTTAAGTATAGTATCACCGAACACGACACATGTGCATGCTTTTGCATTACCAGACTTACGGTAAGACAACAAGCACATAAACGAGGAGGGTCTTTTTAATTTTATGGATGAATATGATTCACAGATATCAAGGAAACTAGAAGTAAGTTTTCCCTGTTTGGATCCACTGACCACCTTGCCCACATAAGCAGATGAGCAATAGATAGCAATAGATCAGGAATCAGGGTTAGCATTGCTAGGTGTTTGATTCTTTTACAGAGAAATATAGCAAATTATTAATTGCTTAAATTATCTTCTATGGGTCCTACCAGAATGATTTTATAACAATGAGAATGTTCTCTTTAAGAATAGCACAGAAGTCATATGGTTACAGACAATTACCATCACCTTGAGTATTTTAAAACTGCATGGCTCAACACACAACAATGTATAATATAGAATAAGTACATGTTCACAAGAACAATACAACAAAACCCTACCAAGCAGGAGGAACACATGGAAGAAAAATTGTGGCCCTCAACAGGAAGGTTACACTTACTTGTATAGAAGCTGAGCTTCTTCTCTAGCTTTTTCTTAGAGTTGAGCTCCTGCTTCTTAGACCCACTCCTGCATACATTTAAATTTTCAATGATAAGGAGCCTTCAGGAGGAGACAGCAATCAAATCCACAAAACAATCACAAGAATTTGAGACAAAATTATTTCACTCCAAGAAAGGGTTCAGATGAATAACAGTGGATGAGCGCATTAGAGCAAATGCTACTGGATCAGCAACGGTAGCTCCCAAATCCTGCTACTGATTTTCATCTTTCTAGTCACCAGTTATCACCAAATACACTTTTAATCTTATTATCGCTACACTACCTGTAATAGATGGTTCTTTGGCACCAAAATGCATTAATAAGCGATAGATACCCAGAAATCATGATGCAAGGGGCTGGCGGGGAGGTGACAATCGCCAGTCGGAGATCGCAGAGGTGCGTGGTGGCAGCGAGCGTGCAAAGTCAGACTAGGGCAAAGTTGGCAGCAACCATGAAGGGAACGAGGCACGGTGGCAAGCATGCTGACAATCTATTTTCGACATGGCAAAGAGAAAAAACAGAACATGCATTGCAGGACTGCTCAGTCGATGCTGCCGTTGTTCTGCCGGTGCCACCAACTGGCGGTCGTGAAATCGGGCATGGCACAGCAGTGGTTTATCGGAGGGAGCCAGTTCTATTAGTTTGTTTGGTTGGCAAATGGTTATCCACGATACAGGCCTGAATGCAGCGGTAGGATGGCGGCGTATTGGCGTGGTAACTCCATGAGCTAGTGAGCTTAGCCAACTTGGGCCTCATTCCACCTATCGCTAGGGCTAGCCACACATCACTTATTCAAAATGCATAATCTGGTCCATGGTAAGGTTCAGACATCAATCAAGAGCATGCTATATTTGACAGAAAAAGAGGCACCGCCATGATGTGCCATCTACTCTTATCATTAAGATTACTTCGGCCACTATAAATCTTAATATTTCTTCATCGGGGATAACTGGCACAAAATGATGCCCCTACTTTACTCCTTCAGTATGACAATGGCCACGAGAGAACTATCCATTTTGATGGCAGAATGCACCCATGGTATCCTTTTTCTTTGAATGATATACAGCAAATGTATAGACGCACCTTTCTGAGGCCATGGTGGAGTGGAGTTCGGGAAACCGAGTGGGATGGGAAGTATGGGCGCGAGGGAGAACCCGCGATGGTGTCAGCAGCCTGGGGCGTCGCAGGAGGGGCGGCGTCGTTGGAGGTCGCGCGGCGGCGTTCGAGGAGGAGGTCCCGCGGGGCACTGGGGGTGCGGCGGAGTTGGAGGAATATCCGGGCGGCGGCGTCGACAGAAGAACGCCGAGCGGTGGCGTTCGAAGAAGAGATCGCGGCGGGCACTGGAGGCGATGCGGGTTGCGGGAGGGGTCCGGGCAGGGAGGAGCACGCGCGGCGGCGCTCAAGGAGGATGTGGCACGGGGGCAACTCGTGCAGTCGTGCTCGAGGCTTGTGGGATGTGTGACCTGGTCCGGGCCTCCGGGGTGGTGGGCTTCTTTTGGGTATTTGGATGTGCGCTCAAGGGCCTGATTACTGAGGATTGGGCTTCGTGGACAAGTCTGGCTCCATTTGTCCGCTCGGGAATCTCATTTCTACCTATTTTCATGCATGATAGGAGTAGGGATGAAAATGGAGCGAAAATGGACAAAATTGGATGCTATCACATTTGTCTTTATTTATTTTTGCGGAAGCAGAAATGAATACAGAAACCCCGAAAAAAAATATGAAAACAAATACTACTGAAAATGGACACAGAACGAAAACAAAAGTAGGCATTAAAACAAAAGTAGGCATTGACCGGAACTTAGAAACACCTTGAATCATAGAGAAATACACACAAAAACATAAATTTAGTGAATAGATAATAAGGCTACAAAATAATATCATAAATGTTAGCTACTTAGCGTAGTATTGTACTCCCTCCGTTCGGAATTACTTGTCACAAAAACGGATAAAAATGGATGTATCTGCAACTAAAATACATCTAGATACATTCATTTCTTGGATGAGTAATTCCGAACAAAGAGAGTAGTAGTATTGGATAATTGCGTATAGGGCCAAACTGAATATATGTGTTATAGTAGAAGTTAAGCCTCAAATGATCCATTCTACTCATTGTGTCATTGTGTGTTGTTTGATGGTTGGGCAACAAAACAGCCATGGGTCTAACTCAAAACGAAAATTCCATATTCACGAAAACGGAAAGTTCCGTTTCCACCGGAAAACACCATTTCATTTTTGCTTTTGTTTTCGCATAAAAATTTCCATTTCCATTTTCATTTTGCAAATTTCCATTTCTATTTTCATATTTTCTCTTCATTTCCATTTTGCCCCGAAAAAGCGGAAAGTTTCGCATTCCATTTTCATCCCTAGATAGGAGTAGATCATAGAGATGATACGCTGGCTCAGTCTCTCAAAGGTTGTGCGTGTATGTGTTTATAGAGGTGAGTATATGCGCGTATAGCACTTGAGTTTGTACTATGTTAAAAAAATACAAATAGAATACAATGATGAAAATAGCACACAACCATGCAGAAAAAAAAAGTTCAAACTTAGAAGTACATAAGTCAAACATAAAATAATACGACATCACCAATGGTTTTCAACATGTATATACATATGCTTCACAAAATCATTGATTAGTCGCACGTGCGCATACTGATCTAGAAGTTGTCCATACATAGTTTACAACATGTGTTGCATCTTATTCAGGGAGGTGGACATGTATAGACGGTGGTTGAAGCATGTTTGACACGGATCTCGGTCGGATCCGGCGGCCTAGGGAGAATGTGTTAGGGGGGGAGGGGGGGAGGTGTGGGTTGCAACTCCGTCATCCAGATCAAGGGCGTGCACAGCGATACGGCATCGTCTTCTATGTAGAGGAGCTCGACGTTGGTGAAAGGGAAGGATGGAGACATTAACTCCCCCTCATCTAGACGTCCGCTGGGTAGAGAAGGGGGAGAGGATGGAAGGGGATGGGAGGTGTTGCCAACACCGGGGAGTCGATGGGGGAAAGGGACGACGCGTCTCTACGGTATCAGAGGGCGTATCTGATGGGATTTACTTGGCGTTGAGAAAAAAATGAGCCACTTTTTGCATTACCGGTGGCATTGGTGGTAAATGTTGACAACTCGGGAGCAATTACAATGATGAATGGGCAGGAACAATCCTCCTTTTAATATTAGGGCCGTCCTAGGTGCTGGCAGGTTGAAGGAGTGAAAAAGATCAACCGCCTCCCCTATCTTCTGATTGAGACAAAGAGAGCCATTTGATGTCCCCCACGTGAGCCAACTGAATTGCAGCAAGTAAGTTCTTGCGCATATATCTCTTCGGCAGCAAACTTGTTGCAAAAAGCCTTTTTCCATTCCAATCTCTGCAACAAGAGCCTTGTTGGCTCGGGCTTCTGCAACAAGAGCCTTCTTGCAAATCTTTTCTGAAGCTTTTTGTTTCTTTTTCTCTATTGCCCATCATTGTAACATAGGTCATGTTGCAGAATCATTTTGCGATAAAGGCCGTGTTGTATGAACTTTTTGCAACCAAGGCCCCGTTGTGGATTTTGTTTTGCAATAGAGAAAAATGATGGAGATGTGCCTAAGGTCACACAAGGCGCGCGTCGGCCGACACCCCGTGCTGGATCAGCCGGGCGAAGGGAATCATTTCCCTTAATATTAGGTAAAGATTTGTTTAATTCAAAATTGTGGACAATTTTCATTGGAAATGTATTTTTTCCTTTTTGTTGGTGGGAAGTTGATACTAAAAATTCACAAGTAGAATCATCACATCAGTGATGAACATGAACAAAAGTTGAAACTTTGCTAGCTTGGCTAGTGTCTACCAAGTTATTTGTCACTATATGTCATGATTTTGTGTATCTATAGTCCACAAAACATTAGCGTGCGCATTGTACATATTTTTTATCCAAATATACCACACTCGTACTTGTTTTCTTTTTCTTTTTTTGGAGCATCGTACTTGTGGTTTTTTATGGACAAAATGAAAAACTTTTTTTACGAAGAAAACTTTCGATCTATTCATCAGCTGGCAAGATAGTACAACGAATACCAGAAGTAAGAATTACATCCAGGTCCATAGACCACCTAGCGACGACTACAACACTGCAGCGAGCCGAAGGCGCGCCGCCGTCATCACCCCTCCATCACCGAAACCAGGCAAACCTTATTGTAATAGAAATTGAAAAGTCATCGTGCTAAGACCCCAGAGGACCAGCGCACCAGAACAGCAACCGCAGCCGATGAAGAGAAGCATAGATCAAAAAAAATCCAAACATAGATAATTAATTGTGTGCCCAAACTTAACATTTTGCTAGCTCCACTACCGAGTGAGAGCGAAAGAGGCTTACATGATTTGAGTGCATTTTATGTTCGTCTGTGTTTAGAGTGACTTTGTCTTTAGAAATTGTGAAATTTTTATGCGAAATACTGCTATTCAGCCAGCCAATCGGGCGTGGAACGTCTAGCGTGTTGTCTGTATGCCATGTGCTCTGAGTCATCTGCTACATATCCCTTGCTGCAAGACGCGGGGGCGCAACACAAACAGGATGTAGCGCAAGGCTTGTTGCAACTTGCGAAAGCTCATTCGCTCATGGGAGAGATCGGACAGCTGTCGCATAGAAAAGAAACAACGGCTCACAAGAGGGGACCGGGCGGCTGCTGCGCAGACACCCCCCCCCCCCTTCCCCCCGGCGCGAAAAAGCTGTAAAGATAATTGCAACGAGG